TTCTATCACATTAGAGACCTACCAACGGTGGAACTTTAATGGTGTATTTTTACAGCAGTAATAACTTTCCTGAAAGGGGAGGGAGTATTTTAAGCAGAAAATGTAAATACCTTTTTATAACAATACGTATAACAGAAATTGTTTTACTTAAGACTGACCAGTGATGAAAACATATCTAAGTTCACAGCCTTCTGAAACAAGGTAAAAGAAAAAAGAAATCACAGCAACTCTCTAACCATCTGAGGGTCATCGGAATTGCATTGCTAATGCAAGCGAGCCGCAAGATTTTAATCTGCTTGGACACAAGTGAGCTAGTCAGCTAAAAATACCACCCACTGAATGCTTCTTTACCGGCTGAGACCTGCCAAAAATAGCAAGGGAAACCTCAGACTTCCGCACCTCAGGTCACAGGGGATCAGGTGCTTCGCGTGGGATGGCGAAGGAAAATCAACTGGCTGACCACGCTGCGTTCAGGGTGATCAAGTAGGATATAACATCTCCATAACGCCCAGATTGCCCCGTGCTCTTTCTACTGTATGAGCGCACGTTTTGAATTGGATTTGCTCTCGGTGAAACAATCACCTCTACCGTTCCACCAACTGCTCCTGAGGGAGGAGACTGGCACTGCGGAGTGCTAAACCTCCTCCTGCTTCCTTTGAACGTCACGATGAAGAAGTGGTGTAGAACCCGCTGAAGATAGACAAGGTCATGTAACTACACAGCTGGGAAAAATTCCTTCTGAAATTTTATGAAGGCCAAGATAGGATTTGGGCAACCCAACAGACCAAGAAAATCTGCATTAGAACTGAACCACTGAAGTGAAATGCAATTGCACCAGAAATTGCACGAGAGACTGGTTAAAACAGTACAAAGTTCTTTCTTATAATAATAGGTTGAGGGTATACCACAAGTAAGCCAAAGGAAGAAGATGTAAAAAATTCATTACAACTCCTTCTGCCCCTTCAAAATAATCCCCTCACAGGTTTCTGAAGCAATTTCCTATTAGTTTTCATACAGGTGGCTTCCAGATATTAAAGAAGAAAACAAAAGTTTCATTTCTTCCCTGAGGGGTCAGAGACAGAGCGATTGAAACCCAAATTCCAGAGCCTGGGGAATTTGCCATCAGCGTCGCCGGCAGGGTACTCTTCCCGAGCACGCTGCCCAACGACTCGGTTAAAATGCTCTCAGAAAAAGGAAGATTTCACAATTTCATGTGGGATTATTGCTCTTGCTACCAAAGAAAATCCATGCTTTCGTAGCATTTCTTTGCTACCAAAGAAATCCACGGCTTCTGAAGCCTACGTTCGTATCAGAGCGGGAAACAGCTCAAGCTTTCAGTCCAAAAATGGACTTGGAAAATGTGCACCTTTCACCTTAGTTGTTAAAAAAAAAAAAAGAAAAAAAATTAGAAATGCTGTTTCAACAGCCTTTTTCCTTCTAGCTGCCCTGGAGAGCAATTTATTAGCTGTCGCAGGTTAATGGAGTCATAATATAATTTCCTCACTAATTCCAAAGACAAATACAGCTTTATTTCCCAACTATTTTATTTATTTATACCAGGTAGGTCCCACAGCAACTAGCAGCTCAACTCCTGGACACAATTTAAATTACGAGCTGCAACTGTGTCTCAGGACACAGTAACAACGTATTGATTATTTCTGATTTTAACCTGAATAGCGATCAGAAGAGATAAGACAATATGGGTGTTTTCTCCATACAAAGACTAAACCAATATTTTTTACTTCAATTTTTTTCCACTGTCTGGTACTAGTATATTCCATCCCTACACATTTCCCAAAGGGCAGAGAAGCTCCAAACACCTTATACCTGGAAACACACTCTGCCAAAAAGGAAATATTTTTTATTAAATCCAAGTGTAAAAGTAATATGAATGACAGGGGGAAGATTAGATTCACAATGGAATTCTCTTTCTTCTCTTCAGTAAAGCACAATACTTTACATCATTTTCCTGTCTTTAGGTTATTTAGTGATATTTAGAGGATACTTTTCACCACAAAACAGAAAAAAATTGAAAAACCTAATGTGAATAGAGTATTGTGTACAAGCAAATAATATTTTAGTTCTAAAATTTGTTTACTAAAATATTAACTGAATAATCTGAATTTAAAAAATTAGTAAAATCCACAGATAATGTGCAAATTTACCCATTTATTTCACTAATATCTGCTCTCTTTGGTATGAATTACGCAATTGCTATCCCATTGCTCCAGCATTCGCGTTAATTTAACGAGCAAGCCAAGCAATAACAAGCCCTGAAAACTACGCATAAAACTAAAAACACAGACTATATTTCCTTATTTTTGGAGAAACACCTATCAACATGTTGCAAACAGGGCCGGGATCATTTCTTTAAGAACAGTAAAAAGGTTGTTACAAATTGAGAGCAGCAATTTCTTTTTTTGAAGTTATTGCTATTACCATCACATGAACGAGAACGCGTCCTGGAAGAGAACTCTTGCTCTAGGTATAACAATAACCCCAGACTCTAAAAACGTCCCCGTGGACGTTTACAGGGCTTAAATATAACACACTGAATGTGAAAAAAAAAAAAATGATGATTGCAAGAAACTGCTTTAGGTGACTGAAAACATGTTTTGCAATTCGATTTTGAAATCTGCTCAAACACTACCGCGTTCCTCTCTGCAAACTGTGGCCTGAAAAAGCTAATTAGCCTCTACCAGCTTCAATTTTCCTACTCATTCAAGCACACCTCGCTTTAAAACTGCCGAGCAACGTCTTCGCGTGTAAGCTAAGGACACCATTTTGCATACGTGGCTTTCAACTTCTTCCTTGGCTCTGCCAAAGGATGCCGGTCCACGCTGTCCCTTAGACAAATGTTTGCAACAAAAACTTTCTTTTAAACTTAAAGACCTGTGAAGATGCCAGAAAAGAGGTCTTTAAAATAGCTTTGAAAAAAACCCCAAACTAACCAACATACAAAAAACCAACCCCAAATCACCACCTGGCAACTGGCATGCTGTGGATTTTATGAGTCACAGTCATCTCACTGCCATCCTCCACTCATCTGGCAATTTGTTGTACTACCTATTGCTCCTCAACCCCCATCCGCAATGCACGTCCTCTGCAGAAAGGCATCTTTGCTTACCATGGACAATACCCATTATATGGCCATGTCCCATTACAACTCATAAACGGATAAAATCAACAGTAATAACTGACAGGGAAAAAAAATACGAGTGTTGGCATAGTCTCACTTCTCCAGACAAATAAAAGAATGAGAGATGCTCAGTATGGGGGAAAAAAAAAAAAGTATAATGGGTGGTCTCAGCTTCACAAGTGTCCTGCTCAGACAGACTTCCATCTCACTGTCATAGAATCATAGAACCGTCTAGGTTGGAAGGGACCTTGAAGATCACCAAGTCCAACCATCAACCTAACACTGCCAAGTCCACCACTAAACCATGTTCCTCAGCACCACGTCTACCCATCTTTTAAATACCTCTAGGGACGGCAATGCCACCGCTGCCCTGGGCAGCCTGTTCCAATGTTTGATAACCCTTTCGGTGAAGAAATTTTTCCTAATATCCAATCTAAACCTCCCCTGGTGTAATGTGAAGCCATTTCATCTTGTCCTATCGCTTGTTAATTGGGAGAAGAGACTGACCCCCGCCTCACCACAACCTCCTCTCAGGTAGCAATGAGGTCACCTCTCAGCCTCCTCTTCTCCAGGCTGAACACCCCCAGTTCCCTCAGCTGTTCCTCTTAAGACTTGTCCTCCAGACCCCTCGCCAGCTTCATTGCCCTTCGCTGGACATGTTCCAACACCTCAATGTCTTTCTTGTAGTGAGGGGCCCAAAACTGAACACAGCACTCAACGTGGGGCCTCACCAGTGCTGAGTACAGGGGGGGCAATCACTTCCCCAGTCCTGCTCACCACACTACTCCTGATACAGGCCAGGATGCCATTGGCCGCCTTGACCACCTGGGCACATGGTTGTCCCAGCAACACAAACCCAAGCAGACCTGGATCGAGGCAGGTTTCGCTGAACGCAGATGCCTCAGGACGTCCAAACTGTAGTTTTCTACAAGGAAACCAATCAGAATTACCGAGAACCTTCATAGAATCACAGAATTGTCTAGGTTGGAAGAGACCCTTGGGATCATCGAGTCCAACCATCTACCCTACTCTACAAAGTTCTCCCCTACACCGTATCCCCCAACACCACATCTAAACGGCTCTTAAACACACCCAGGGATGGGCACTCAACCACCTCCCTGGGCAGCCGATTCCAGTGCCCGACCGCTCTTTCTGTGAAAAATTCTTTCCTCATGTTCAGTCTAAATCTCCCCTCTTGGAGCTTGAAGCCATTCCCTCTGGTTCTGTCATTAATTACCTGTGAGAAGAGACCAGCACCAACCTCTCTACAGTTTCCTTTCAAATAGGTGTAGAGAGTGATGAGGTCTCCCCTCAGCCTCCTCCTCCTCAAACTAAACAGTCCCAGATATCAACTTGATATCCAGCCATGTTTTATCATGGTATTCACCTGTATCCAGAGAATACTACATAGTAACTTCCTCAACTAGAATTATTGTTGGGTTTTTTTTTTGCATAACTTGAGTATTCCACCAAATATTTAGTGCTCACTCTTTCTACCTGAACTGGAACTTCACAACAGCGGGACTGTTAGTGTTAGACTACCAAAGCATACCTTCAGTTTTCATTATAGGTACTTCGCTAACATATATCTATACCAGTGCAGGACACTGGCAAGAAAGAGGAGCCAAAAAGGCTGACACAAAGCTTTACTAAAAGCAGCAGCCCCCTTTTATAGACGTTATCAGCTTCTTGTAGACAGATACCGCTGAAGAACGAGACTGAAAACAGCTTGAGGTGAATTAAAACAGCTGTATAAAGTAATCTAGCCCGAAAACCCCTAGGTTTTGGGGGGTGGGTGGGATGGTGGTGGTGTGTTTATCGCAACTCGCTCTTGTGAACTTCTGCCCTTCGACTATCTTACCTGATTACATGTGTTAATGTCGATTCCACTCTTCAGGTATTCCACTACTTTGTCCAGATTGCCAGCTCTGGCAGCTCGGAGAAAGCTTGCATTGCTGTCAGACTGTGAAAAGAGAAGAAGAAGAAAAAAAAAAATCTCTGGTTAGCTCCTGCTTAAAAGAGAGCACAACAACATCACCAGCGAAGGGTTTCCGCGGTTCACGCTGCAGGAGAATAAAACTGTGAAGAAAACCGACTTTGAATTATATCTGCACTAATTAGCATACACATACTTAAACCAGGCAGAAAAGAACTGCAGACCTGTCAGAGGGAGCAAAAAGTGCAATAATTGCTGAAGTTCAAAATTTAGCAAAAACCAAAAGAAAAAAAAAAAACCCCAACCGAAAATTATAGTAACAAATATTAGCAATAAGAAGAAAAAATAGGCATCAACTTGCTAAGCATAGTTTTCGGTTTGATTTTTTCATCTATATATACTGAAAACTCTGGAAAATAACTGGTCAATGGTGTTACTGGCTATACTACTTAAGAAAACATATGTTAGCTTTAGATTTGTACTTGGTATATAAAGTTACATGACTACAGTGCTTATTGATGCACACACACTGTCTTAAAGCAGAGGTACACACTGGAGAAAAAAAAAAAACCACTATCCAAGAGCCAAAAAGCCCTATGGATGTATTTTACCACCTGTGACACAGAAGTGGGATATGCTAAAGGCAAAAAAAAATAAAAATAAAAATAAAATCATAAAAGTCGCACAAAACGGGGCAGCACGGCAAGTGGAGCTAACCATAAAACAAAGCGGATGAAGTAAAACCTGAGCATCTAAATCCAGGATAACGTCGTAAACACACTTGCTCCTAACTGGCCTGCATTCACACCTTTGCCCTAAGCAGTTAGAGCTTAAAAAAAAATAAACAAATAACATCACGTTTTCATTTTTCGGCTAGCTTGTGGGATGTACTGTTAAAGCCAGGGAGCGCAAAATGCATCAGCCCGCTCGCCTTTATCTACGATCACGACACGGCGTTATATTGGCTATTTGAAACCAGCACATACTTCGATGTCCACCCACGTGCGAACCTACACACAGGCAAATTGGAGGAGGAAAAGCAAAGTTGTGCGAGAGAAGCAACGATTAAACAGAATAAGCATTTGGGAACGCACAGAGAGACAATAACAATTTTCATACTTAAATAAGTAGAGTAGGAGCCAGTTTCAAAAAGCAGATCAATAACTATAAAAGCCTCTTTTGTGGGGCTGTGGTCAGAGAGGTGCAGGAGGACGCGCGCACCGTTGGATTGGTCCTCAGCGTTCCACTGGAACACCTCTGATTGAGCACGTTTCTCATCTAATTTCCCCTCCCCGTCAGAAACACCGGGTTGAAAACCATATTTTCACATCATGAGAATATCCTAAAATCCTCCCACTTTCAGCTTATTAATCCCGATGGACAAAGCAATTTGTTTCAGTCACCCAATCCATTTCAACGCATTTCTTTCGGTCACCCCACTTACCACGCTGTCCTAACTCACTTGGCAATCCCCGATTCCAACCTATTTTAATCTGCAACAGATGGATGTCATCAAAATGATGATTCTTACAACTGCGCTGCCACGCCAAGACAAAAATATTTCCTTTGAAATTCCTTTCAGCCAACTTCAGCACATTTTCCGCATCCTCTACTGTTAAGAAAACAGAGCGTCTTTGTATAGAGGCCGCAGGGTGACGGGGAAGGTAGTGCAGGAATTCACGTTGACAGAACCCTTTCAGAGCTCCAGGCTTCGGCCAGGGCAGCATATGGATGACTCTTGACACAGAAGCGTCT